CTCATCAACTCTTTATCATTTAAACAAGATTCTAATAAGAGGTCAGATATGCCACAAAGACCAGAATCAATGATTTTCCAAGACCCATTTTCTTTACAAGAAACATCTGCTACACGTGAACAGGTTTTAAATTATTATAATTTTTGTTTAATGTTTATTATTTAAATATACCATATTCATGCTCAAAATCATATGTATATATGATTTATATAGACTATCCCATTGAAAGATTATGAAGAATTAAGGTTAAAACTTAAAATATTAGAAAATAAACGTCAAGATGATCGCGAAAAGTTTCGTGAAAACGAAAAATTGAGAGCCGAAGCTGAACAATTTTTAAATGTCAAGCCAAAACTTCAAGGTAAGAAATAAAATATTTATTTCTTTACTTACTGTGTAAGCACGTTCATGATCGAGTATTATTGCTATTTTGGGATGCACATTAGGAATCGAAAATCCTTTCATCATGCATAATAAATGGTTATTATCATCATTATTATAATCAGTTTAAAAATTCCTTTTTGAATAAAAAAGTCTTTAACGGGACGGGTTGTAAATTCTCCTCGGGTAAACAAACTTTTAAAATGGCCAATTATTAGATGATCATTTTTTATTATTTAAACAAACAAACAATCCAAATTCTTAAAAAAAAAACAAATTTAAAATGTCAGAGACGTCGTTATTTAAAAATAAAAATTACAATCATTTCACAAACTGGATTCTAATTGGAAGCTTAGTTTTTGGTGGTTGTTGTAGCAATGTAATATTTTTAGAATTAATAATTGGGTTAGTAGTATATCTAAATGAAGATTTCTTTTTTGTTTTTATTGTTTTATTGATTGAAATTATTGATTTATTTTCCCATCTTTTAAAAGTGATGCACCTAAAAGTGGCAAGTATCAGAACATTAATTTTAATTATTTTATATGATTGATCAATTTTAATTTTAAACTAATATTTTTTGTGCTTTTTTTTATTTTTTTTTTTTAGGAAAATTAATTACATTTGTTCAATTTTTGTTAATTTCTTTTGAAGGATTACTATACAATCTCCAAGTTTCGCCATCATCATCATCATCATCCACATTAATTCCACGTTTAAAACCACGTTCTATACCAATATATCGTTGGTTTATCTTAGTAATAATGTTTTTTACCGTATCGATCTTAAATAATGCTGCATTAGGCTATGAAATATCTTTGCCATTTCATATCATTTTCCGAAGTGGTGGATTAATAGTTAGTATGATTTTAGGTTGGGCTTTAGTTGGTAAAAGGTTTGTTTTAATTCAATCAATCCCTCTTCTCACAACTGCTGCCGATCTAATGAAGCTGTCATCTTATCATAGATATGCGCTCACACAAATTGTGGCAGTAATCATGATAACTTTTGGTGTTGTATTCGCTACATTAAGTTCTGCAAACAACCAATTAGTGGTAACAAATAATTTACATTTTACTTAATTTTAAAAACTATTTTTACAAATCACGGATTTATCTGAAATATGACAAGATGTCACATTTCATTATCATCATAAAATAGGAAGATAAAAATTCTGGTTTTACAGCCGACTATATATTTGGAATAATGATTCTTACAGTTGCATTGGTACTATCTTGCTTTATGGGTTTATATCAAGAAATGAACAGATCAAATGATTGGCGCGAAGGATTATTTTATACCGTAGGTGAAATCATTTTATTGTTGTTATTATATTAATTATCTCATTTCTAATTAAATTAATTAATCAATTAATTAATTTATATTAGCATTTTCTTGCGCTTCCTTTATTCTTAATATTTTATGATGACATAAAAAGTCAAGCTTTATTATTAAATGAATCTCCTCATGTGTCATTAGAGGAAGTATTTTTTTTACTAGTAATTGTTGAATTATTATGTATCTGAAGTTACACTGTTACTAGGATTTAAAAGAAAAGATCTAATGTATAGTGGATGACCTGATTATGAATGTTCTTTCTTTCATCCAAAAAGCTGCTGGTTGCAGTGACAGGGCCTGTAGTGAATATTATTTTTTTACGTATATTTTATTAGTCAGTTATATCATTTATATAAGAGAAAAAATATCTAATAAATAATTTGAATAATTATTTTAATGATGTGATAGTGTTGTCGTTGCCATTAAAAATTAGTGATAGATCAAATTAATATTGGCTATGTAGTAGTGCAAAGTGAAATTCTTTATGTTTAATAATGATCACTTGTAAAAATTTTCTATAACAATTAAAGAATAATTTTCACTTCTTTATCCAATAGTAATATCAATATTACCATTACTATTACTACGTTTTATCAG